ATGGCTAACTAATGACTTAATTATACCTTCGAGGCTCACAACTTCTTTGTAGATTGTTCGACACTTCAGGATTGGATTTTATTGACATGGCTAAGTAAGAGCTTGACTACACCTTTGAAACTCTCAATTTCTTTGTTCGACACTTTATGATGGGATTCTATTGACACGACTTAGTAAGAGTATGGTTTTGATACTATATTGGAGACCACGACTTTCGACAATAATATGATATTATCTATTTTGAGTGTAAATTTTTATGGTTTTGCTTTTAGCTATCCTAAAATGTCTCGTACCAATGGAAACATATTCGATACGTATAAATTTATGATCATCCCCTTAATTGGCAAATGTTTGGGCATCTCTCGATTCAATCGGCAAATGTTTGGGCATCTCTCGACTCAATCGAAGATAATGACTATTGCACATAGCCACACCACACCTTTGTTTGGCTTGTTTTTCTTGATGGAAAGGGGGAATAATTATGTGCTACAAAGCAAAAGTGTAGGGAATTTCCATGGGCCTTGAGAGATTAATGGGCCATTGGAAATGGACCGGTCCATGATTTTGAGCCCAATTCTAAGAGTTAAATGTTATTTTTATTAATTTATGGTTAAGAATAGAAATAGAAATAGAAATGGGATTAATGTTTACCACGTTTAAATAGAATACAAATTATTATCACAGAAAAATATAAGATAAAATATTATACTAATATATAACTAACTAAATCATAAAATAAAATATACTGCTAATCAAATCCCAAGATAAAATATACTTAATATAAAATATACTGTTAATCAAATCCCAAGATAAAATATACTACCCACTAAAAAAACGTAAACATGAGAGAATATATAACTAACTAAAATATATTACTAACCACAAGAAAAAAAAATAAAAAAATATATTACCAACCAAAAAAACCTAAAAATGAGAGAATATATAACTAATTAAATTTATAAGATAAAATATACTAAATTTGGTAGATAAGATAAATATACTGTTAATCAAATCATAATATAAAATATACGGTTAACCATTAAAAAAAATACATAATGAGAGAAAATATATAACTAATTAAATATTTTAGATAATATAAAATATACTGCTAATCAAATTCAATATATAACTAACCATACCTAAAAATGAGAGAAAATATATAATTAACTAAATCTTATAAGATAAAATATACTACTAATCAAATACTAAGAAAAATATACGGCTAACTAAATTTGGTAGATAAGATAAAATATACTAGTAATCAAATCATTAAAAAAAACGAGAAAATATATAACTAACTCAATCTTATTAAATGAGATAAAATATACTCCTATTCAAATCTTAAAATAAAATATACGGCTAACTCAAAAAAAAAAAAAAAATATCTAAGATATACTTTAAAACTAATTATCAAAATATATTATCTAAATATCATATCTTAATAAAATTAAATTCGAAATTTACGTAATATATTTATTTTTTAGGTTCACATAACAAATCGAATAGTCGTGAGTTGAATAAAAGAGGTAATCAATACGACGTCGTAGCGGGCAAACAACGCGTAGAAACCACGACGCGGTCCTCTGAAGTCTTTATATGTTCAGAGAAAAATCGGCATCAGCCCTCAATTTTCTCCCAAACCCTTCACTCTCGACGAAACTGCGAAACCCTAATTTTCTCCTCTCTCTCTCTCTCTTACTCCCTCTTTCGACTGCTCCTTCAGTGTTTCTGTTCGATTTCTCTTTGAACATGGCCGCTCCTTTGGATATGAGTCTCGATGATATCATAAAGAACAACAAAAAATCCAGATCCGGAATTTCTAGAGGTCGCGGTAGAGGGTCCGGACCGGGTCCTGTCCGTCGAATCCCCAATCGCGCCGCTAATCGCACACCTTATTCCGCTCCCAAGGTATAGCTTTGAGGATTAGTTTCTTGCTGCCGGTTTTCCTCTCTCGAATTCTGGGTTGAAGTTTTGATTTGTGATTTTGGTGTTAGGCGCCGGAGACGACCTGGCAGCATGATATGTTTGTCGATCAGGGCGCGGGTTTCCCCGTGCAAGCTGGACGTGCCTCTAGCATTCAGACTGGAACTAAGCTCTACATATCTAATTTAGATTATGGTGTATCTAACGAAGATATTAAGGTATTTATACTTCTTGCTGATAGGTTAAATGATAGGATAGGTTTCCTTTTTTTGTTTTTGTTTTTTGCTGAAAGTGATGATTTTCGCAGGAACTTTTTTCTGAGGTCGGAGATATGAAACGCTACGGTATCCATTATGACAAAAGTGGCAGATCCAAGGTATTCTACGAGGCTTGGCGCAATACTGGGTTTAGACTTCTAGTGAATTTTGTATCTTGGTCGAAGTTTAGAAATTCTCTTTTCCATAGGGAACGGCGGAAGTAGTTTTCTCACGACGAGGAGATGCTGCTGCGGCTGTCAAGAAGTACAACAACGTGCAGCTAGATGGAAAACCGATGAAGATAGAGATCGTTGGAACTAATATTGCCACTCATGCTGTTGGTCCTCCCGCTGCTGTGAACCCTTTCGAAAATTTCAATGGGGCTCCTAGAAGGTATTTATCAGTATACGATATGTCTGCTCTGATCCTTGGTTAGGTTTATAATTGGATGCAACAATTGCCTGCAACTTGCTTTTTCAAAACATATTTCGAATTTCAATTCGTGTTTGAAATTCAGCTAATTTGCTATAAGCTACTTCTATTTTTTGGAATCCTATACATATAGATATAAGTTTGATAAATATTAGAGTTTTGTTTTCCTTGTATTAATGATTTTAATTTCTGTTTATAAAGAACTCTTACTGCAGTTTGCTTATAGCTTTTGGAGTAGTGAACTTAATGTTTATTTTAGGTTGTGATATGCTTGTAATACTCATTGTCTAGAATTATAATTTTTTTTTATCGGGTATTTTTATTGCAGAACAGTTTTCCATGTGTTTTTTTACTTGAATCAATTTTTTAGACCTTTGCTATATATGTACTTATGTGAGCCATCGATGTTCTGTTGTATGCACTTGTATCTGAATCTCTTTATTATTTTTAGGCAAGTTTGTTTCGCTTTGGTGCTATTCATTTTATAAGTAAGGCTACCATCCTCTCAGTCATTCTACATCAAATTGACATTTTTTTAACTGTTAAACAGGCAACAAGGTAGGGGTGGTCTGCCATCACGTCAACGTGGTGGTCGTGGTTCTGGAAGGGGGCGTGGGCGGGGAAGAGGCCCAAGTGAAAAAGTATCTGCTGAAGATCTTGATGCCGACTTGGAAAAGTATCATGCTGAGTCGATGCAGATAAATTAGTGGATTCATACATTATTTGGTTCTGTCACCTTCAGTTGTTCTCTGTATCACCACCATTGTCTAGACTTCGCAGAAAAGGGCTATGGTTACCCTTAGAGTTGGTTTGAATTTCTTACAGCTTTTGGGCTTTCTTTTATTTAGATTTCATATGACTTCAGCATGGTAATGTAATTGACGAACAGTAGTCAGTGTGTACTCTGCTTTCATTCATTAAGTCCTTTCTGTTTCATTTAATGAGTTGGGAATCAAAGTGGATCTATTTCTTCCCACCCTTTGCCCGATCACATCTGCGAGGATGATGTTGGTTTGATAAAATACCACTCCCAGATTGCACAACAAATGAGTTGCAGTTCCTTATTGAGGTAGATATCTACATCTATATTCTTGTCAGTTGATTCCCATTGTATCTAACAAATTTACAATTTCCCTTTTAATGTTTTTTCAGGGAACTTCAACTCCACAAAACTAATATGTAGGCATGAAGTATTGAACTTGTCAAGTGTTGGGTAATGCACTAAAAGATGAACACACTTCATAGCATGCTATGGGATCCTACTCTGAGTCAAATTATTCTAAGAAACTACCAAGATGATTTTGTTGCCTTTTTGGACTAAGGAATCTTCATCTCTGCCTGCATTTTTATCGTAAAAAGACCTGCTTAACAGGTGAGATATCCTTATCTTAAGTAATTGTTGGTCGAAACGCGCAACGTGGTGGTATACTACTGCTGTGCTCATGGTGAAAATCTGCAGAGCCGTGAATACATGAGAGCAGGCAGAGGCATATTTGAGGTACCATACCATCACTGTTGAGGACAGAGCTCCAAGTTCTTTTCATTTTCTTCTTTCTTGAATTTCTGCCTAGTGCTAGCATATGATCTTCTCTCCTTAGATGATTGATTGATGGCATTATGAGGTTTTGGCGGATGATCAATGAGCGCGGTAGAAACTTCATCTCTTGGCATCATTTAAATACCCCATATTTTCATTTGTTTTTTTTTTTTTAAGTTAAAACCAACGTGCCCTGTGGAATTGTGTTGCGGTGTGTTATTTATTGATGATACTGGTACCTGAGTTTGGAGTTTTTTAACATCACTGCATTTAGAACCCAAAAGTGGCCGGCTGTATGGTTTGGATTTCAGCTTCTTCATGCTACCCATCGATTGATTGACAGGAATTGTCTTAGCTCAAGCTTGTGCCTGCATTGATGATGCCTTAGTATTGTTAATATTGAATGTATCTGGATCTAAGTAAGTGCTGTAATTTGTTAGTTGGTTCACAATTTGTAGTGTGTGATTTATGGATATGTTAGAGAGGTATGTTAAGTGGTGTTGTGGCATTAATTTCCTCCATTATGGTAGCTGGTTATAATAAAGTCATTTGACAATCTAATTTTTTCAAAATTTCTTATTTATTGTGTTCTATATATTATTGGAGATGGGTTTTGTTTTGTTCCAATTATTCATTAAGATATCAAATTGGATAGTAATTATGTGGGGGGCATTAATGGTTTATCTACTTAAGAACAGCGAAAATTGTCGAGAGCCCCACTTGTGTGAAGGCACATGTGATTGCATGGTGGTGACGGCGATAATCAATTGTGCCATTTCTATGGCCTAACTTCCAACTTGTCTATTTGATTTCGACTCAATAAAAAAATACTTTAAATCGGTCGAATTGGCTGGAGTCGTGCGGTGGTGTTAGGCCTGGTCCACGCAGTTGGTCCAAAGAAGCCCATAGTTGAGGCCCAATAAGAATGGATTGGATCGAAATTAGTGTGTAGGGTTGGTCCAAAGAAGCCCATAATTGGGCCCAATAATAATGTGGATTGGTTCGAAATTAGTGTTCAGAGTTGGTCCAAAGGAGCCCATAGCGGAGGCCCAATAATAATATGGATTGGATCGAAATTAGTGTGCAGAGTTGGTCCATCGAAGCCCATAGTCGAGGCCCAATAAGACTATGGATTGGATCGAAATTAATGTGTAGAGTTGGTCCAAAGAAGCCCATAGTTGAGGCCCAATAAAACTATGGATTGGGTCGAAATCCGTGGAGAAGGTGGTAGAAGCTTACAGAAAACCCAGGAAAGGAAGAGGAGAAGATACTAGAAAAGCCCCCGAAACCACTGCCATGTTCTGTTGCTTCCTATTTAAATGCCTTTCATCCCAGAGGTGGAAGAGCATCGACAAACCACAGCAAAGCAAACGAAACTCCGATTCTATCAAATCTTAAATATCAGTTTCAGCAACTCTATCTACTAATTCACCAATAACAATGTCGCTGATTCCAACCATTTTCGGTGGCCGCCGGAGCAACGCCTTCGATCCCTTCTCCTTAAACGTTTGGGACCCTTTCGAAGGCTTCCCATTTTCAAGGTCACTGGCCAATGTGCCTTCCTCTGCTGCTGGTGAGACCTCTGCTTTCGCCTACACCCACATCGACTGGAAGGAGACCCCAGAAGCCCACATCTTCAAGGCGGATCTTCCCGGGATCAAAAAAGAAGAGGTCAAAGTCGAAGTTGAAGAGGGCGGAGTTCTGCAGATCAGCGGAGAGAGAAGGAAAGAAGAGGAGGAGAAGAACGAAAAATGGCATAGAATTGAACGAAGCAGTGGGAAGTTCATGAGGAGATTCAGGCTGCCGGAGAACGCAAAAGTGAATGAGGTAAAGGCCGGCATGGAGAATGGGGTGCTGACGGTGACGGTGCCTAAGATGGAAGTGAAGAAGCCGGAGATCAAGACCATTGACATCTCTGGCTGAAGTCGGAAAACAGAGCGCCTTACAATGGAAGGTCATAAAAACAGAGCGATCGGTCTGGTCGTATACTGAACACAGTGTAGCACATTTAGTCGTTGATGTATAAGATACGAATATCTAGTTTACTTGAACTGATTAATGTATCGGTTAATTCACATCTACTCGTCTACGAATATCTAATTCATAAAAGCTCTAACAATCTCTCCTCATAAAAGTTCTACATCCATTCAAAACTCAGTATCTGGAAATTTCTAAACCAAGTAGCCTACAGATTCAGAACAGAACAAATTAATCTATGTTGCAAAAGAGAAACAGAAGATCATGGAAACAGTAAGCACAATTCTTCGTTTCAAAATCGGAAAATTAGAGAACAAAGTAGGCAAAATGTATAGCAACAAAGACGGAGAGAAACCAGTTCAATATCCAAGATCTATAAACCTAGCCTCCAAAACCGTACAGAGTCCTTCCCTGCCTCTTCAAAGCATAAACCACATCCATGGCGGTCACCGTTTTCCTCCTAGCGTGCTCGGTGTAAGTCACAGCATCGCGAATCACATTCTCCAAGAAGATCTTCAAAACACCTCTGGTTTCTTCATAGATCAATCCACTGATACGCTTGACGCCTCCTCTACGAGCCAAACGGCGAATTGCAGGCTTAGTAATCCCCTGAATATTATCTCTCAAGACCTTCCTGTGACGCTTTGCTCCTCCCTTACCCAAACCCTTGCCTCCCTTACCACGTCCAGACATTTTCGGAGAGAACTGATGAAGAGGATTGATTGGGAAATTTGAATTTGATCGTAATGAATGAAGATGAATAGGTGGGGAGTATTTATATGAGTGCAAGTTGAGCGCGGAATTATTTTGTTCGTTGGATTGTTTGCTAATCGACGGCTAGAAAGATCGATCCACGTGAAGCTTCCGCGGATTTGGAATTTGAAATGTGATTTTTGGCGGGTAGAAGAGAAATTTGTAATTGCCGGGAAATACCCAAAGCTTATGCGCGCCGTTTTTTTGTTGTTGTGAATTTTAAAACACCAAAATAATTCTAAGGCGGTTTTGTAAAATTGTTTAAAAATTAACGAGAGAGCTATAAAATAATTAAATTAATTTATTATTTGATGATATGTCACACTTATAAATTACAGTATAGTACCTACAGAAATCTTATGCTAATTTTGATTCAACTTTAATATAATTCATATAATTTGAATTAATTTTAACACGATCATTTTAGTTGAGAGTTTTTAATTAAAATTTCAAAATTATTTTCAACATTCTATCACTTTCAAATAAAGTTAAAATTGAAAGTTAAAATTGAGTAAGATTTATTGAAGCGAATTATTGAACTCAAATGGCAAATGGAGAGAGTATTCCTCCTTAATCGAGGCTCGACTCCTTTTTCCTTTTTCTTTACCAATCTATTGGTACGACTAAGTTTAGGGCATGACTCTGATACCACGTTAAATGAAACACGACTCTCCACAATAATATGATATTATTCATTTTGAACATAAGCTCTCATAGTTTTATTTTGGAATTCCCCAAAAGGCATCACACCAATTGAGAGAGTATTCTTTGATTATAAACCCACGATCATTCTCTAAATTAGCGGGTGTGAAATTTTCATCATCCAACAATAAGCATATAATTCATCACCAATTCTAATGTTTATACATTATAAGGGGGAGATATGTAACTCTTAATTCTTCCTTCCTGAGCTTTATGGCATAAATATTATTGTTCACCGTTGCTTTTTAGTATACAAACATTTTCTGAATCTTTCTCTAGACTCGTTTTCAAAAGGGTAACAAACATTTTCTGAATCTTTCTCTAGACTCGTTTTCAAAAGGGTAAATCATATGGCAACCCAAATTTAAGTTGGTAAACTTATTTATGAATAGGAGTAAATATTGCATAATCATTTCATCAGATCTAAGTACACATCAATCATATCGTTATGAAACGAATGAAAATTGTGATACCAAGAGAGCGAGAAATATATACATATACATAATATATAATATAGTTGAGCTCCGCTGCCACTCTCACAAATATGTAGCTCCATGCACTCCAATTGTTGCCACCTCTCTTATTTGTTCTTTTCTTCTTCCTCCTCCACACGATTTCATCAGTCGTTCACTTGACTACATTACACACCAGTAAATGTTGCCTGACCTTACTCCGTCGTTGCTCGTCCGCTTCATATCACTTTGTCGTAGGCCAAACTTAGTGAATGAACTCCCAAAAGCTACCATTTTGCATGCGTGCTGTTGCCACTCTACTCATCCACTTTGATGCTCGTCCGGGTCACACCATCAATGAGTATCCATTTGAATGAAAATAATCGTGAGTTTTGCAAGCCTTGTTATTTCATACTCAATTTTGACTTCGAGTTGTGACCTGTCAATCACATTCACTTATGAATATTCGGTATAACAATCTGCTTATCAACCTAATCTTTGAGTACGAGCACAGTGGGAATCCTTATGGTTCCTCGGCCATGCCAAAGGGTTGAAGGGCGTAAGCCAGAGTCAAGGAAGTAGGGAGCATATTCCAAGATGCATAGTGGGGTTGAGTGTTTTGACATAGAAAACAAGACAGAAAAAGGATAACAGGACGGTGAGAACTGGGAGAAAATTGCCTCAAATTTTCAACCCTAAGAAGGTAAAAAGCTAGCTGGATTTTCAGTCGTTATAAAGAACCTGAAAAGGGTTTGAATCATGAATTCATATCTATTCCCAGTACAGAATATAGCAAAAATTTACTGAAAAAAAAGATGCCCGACTAACTCTTATGAGTCTAATGTGTTATGAGATCCCACAACGATCGGAGAGGAAAGCAAAGCATTCCTCGTAAGGGTGTGGAAACCTCTAGCAAACACGTTCTAAAACTTTGACTAGAAGCTTAAAAGAAAAAACTCAAAGAGAATCACATCTATTGGCGGTGAGCTTGAATTATTATAATTAGTATTAGAGTTAGACACCAAGCAGTGTGCTAATGAGGACGTTGGCCCCCAAAGGGTGGATTGTAAGATCCCACATCAATTGTAGAGGGGTTATAATTGTGTAGAAACCTCTCTCTAGCAAATCGTTTCAAAAGCTTGAAGAAATACTCGAAAAGAAAAGTCCAAAGAGAACAATATTAGCTAGTGAGCTTAGTTAAGGTCAAATACACAAAAACAAAAAAAAAAAAAAAACAATCTCTCAATTATGTTCCTTATCAGGGACTTGAAGCTGGTGCCAATCAATCATTCAAGCTGTGAACAATGTTCATTGAGGAAGAAGGCAAATCAGACAGGCATTTCAATTAGGCATGTAAACTTGAATTACAACCGATGTTTTGATTTACAGGCAGCATATGACCCACCATAGCGGAAGCTAAACTTAACGGGTCATGAACACTAGACTGTAAAAAGCTAGAAAAGAAGAAACAAAATCAGAATCTTTCATGATTTCACAAATAAGGAGACTATTCAAACGCACCATAGAAACAAACAGCAAAACAACAATGAAATCCATCCATACATAAATATGTAGAAGTTACCTGGTAACTGAGCTTTCAAACTTTTCTCCATGAAAAGCACAGCAGCATGCAGGGCAGCTTTACTATAGGAAATTGTCATCTTCAACCAACGAAAAAGACAGTCCCGGGAGAGCTTTGAAGACTGGAGGCACCCTAATATAGCTTTTCACCTAAACTGCTTTTCTTGATTTTCTATGAAAGTTTCATAAACATAAACTGGTTAAGAGTTTCAGGTTCTGAGTCTAACAACAATCATTCAGAGAAAGGATGAGGAAATTTGAAGCTTACAACATTGGATCAGACGAATAGATGTCCCATTCAACCAATGCATCAAAAGATATTCAACTTCCACATAAACTAATAGTTAAAATTAATGACAAAACGGATTACATATGATGCATATCTGGAATCTGCATACGGATACGAGCATTCCACGAAATTCAAGGAGGTTAGATCGTAAACTAGAAAGCGTTAATTCGAAGAAATGAGCTAAATGTCAATAAAATGAGGAAATGGATGAAGCCAACTCGAAATTTTTTATAGAACATCTCTTCAATAGCGTAAACATTTCATTGCTTCCCGACTAGTGAGGAATTAAATTACAGAAAAACCTATAAGCGCGCCTACGAGATACTAGATCAAAAGAAATGATCTACAGTCATTCTACAAATTAAACCCTAAATCTAACCTCCGAAACCATATAAAGTCCTTCCTTGCCTTTTCAAGGCATAAACCACATCCATGGCGGTCACCGTCTTCCTCCTGGCGTGCTCGGTGTAGGTCACAGCATCGCGAATCACATTCTCCAAGAAGATCTTCAAAACACCTCTGGTTTCTTCATAGATCAATCCACTGATACGCTTGACGCCTCCTCTACGAGCCAAACGGCGAATTGCAGGCTTAGTAATGCCCTGGATATTATCTCTCAAAACCTTCCTGTGACGCTTTGCTCCTCCCTTTCCCAATCCCTTGCCTCCCTTACCACGTCCAGACATTTTCACAGAGAACTTTCGAGAACGAACAGAACTGAGTCGGTTAGAAGTTTTGAATATGATGTATGAATGGTACCGATTCCGGGTATTTATGGAAGTGCAAATTCGAGGCCAAATTTTGGAGCTAAGCTGGGAATACTTTCGCCCGTTGGATCTTTTGTAGATCGACGGTTGCCAAGATCGATCTGCGTGAAACCTCTCGGGATTGTGCTTTGGAAATGTAAATTTGTGTTTTATTCTTTTCAAGGTTGGCGGGCAACGGGAAATTCCTTGATCCGGGCAGCGGGAAGGCACAAATTTTGGTGAAAGTCGAATTTTAATTTACAATTACAGTTTTGGTAAAAAAATCAGTCTTTAATAATTTTTTGTTTAAATAATAGTTTTAAAATGTTTATAAAAGAAAAGTGAAATTTTTTATTTTAAAATTTAAAATAATAAAGGTTCAAGGGAGAGTATATTTTATAATTTAACCTTTACAATTTTATAACCTAAGTACCTAACTAAAATTAAAATGAATTTAGTAAACTATTGCTCTTTATGGTGCATTTGTATGATATCCAGCCCGACATAAAATGATTGATTCACTGCTTTGTCATACCTCAATACCCAAGTAATAGCTCAAAAGTCCAAGATCGCTCATCTCAAATTTCTGGTGTATCTCTTCCTTGAACTCAGCTATAACTTGTTTGTTTGAGCCGACTATGATTAAGTCATCCACATATGTGCCGGTTATCATTGCTTCAACTTCATTAATTTTCTTGTACATAGCATATTCCTGTGGACATATAACAAAACCAAGTGACTGTAAACATTGATCAAGTTTAAAATTCCAAGCCCTCGGAGCCTATTTTAATCCATACAAGGCTTTACGTAGTTTTAACACCATGTTTGGATTTTTTTTGTCAACGAACCCTTCTGGTTGAACAACATATACCTCCTCTTCTAACTCGCCATTCAGAAAAGATGTCTTTACATCCATATGATGTACTTCCCAGTTCTTAATGGCTGCATAGGCAAGAATTAATCTCCCTGTTTCCAACCTGGCCACTAGTGCGAATACTTCACTGTAATCTACACCGAACTGCTGTGCATATCCCTTTGCCACGAGTCTCGCCTTGTGTTTCATGATTTCTCCATCTGAATTTTTCTTTAATTTGAAAATCCATTTGATGCCGATTGCTTTATGATTCTTCAGCAAGTCTATGAGTTCCCACGTTCTGTTCTTTTCGATGGAGAGAATTTCAAACATCATGACATTCCTTCAGTTTTCATTCTTAGCGGCTTCCTCATATGAGGTT